GATAATAGAATCAAAGCACATACCTCATCTTCAAAGTCAATATCAACTAAACTCAATTGACTAACGATCACATTGAATTTATTGATATGATCAGCAGCTGACGCACATTCGTTCATCTTCAAATTAAACAGACATCGTATCAAGTAGACCTTGTTGATCGCAAAGGACTTCTCATACATATCCGACAGGGCTTTCATCAAACCCACAGTGGTCTTCTCTTTCATGATGTTAAACGCAATGTTACGAGCCAACGTCAGCCAAATAACACCCAAAGCTCGTCTATCCAGCAATTTCTAGTCAGGTTACTTCACCATCTTTGGTTTCTCCTCAAATAGGGGTAAGTGTAGTTTCATCTGATATAAATGATCCTCAATCTGCATCTTCCAGAAACCAAAGTCCTCCCTATCAAATCTATCGATTCTCACTTTTTCTTCTTTTGTCGCCATCGATTCGCTTTAACTCAACCAAGTCTAGCTCTGATACCAATTGTTGCGGAAGCCAAGTGATCGAACAATATAATAGATAGAACAAGAAAATAAATTGGACACCAGATTTACGTGGTTCGGTCTTAGTGACCTACGTCCACGGGGAGAGCAGCATAAAATTCCACTATAGATCAAGCGATATAACAAAGATTATAACCACACTCGAGTCACTCAAACACTCTCGATGTTTCCTAAGCCCCAATTACACCTAATAATACACACAATGTTTAGCCCTACAATTCATCACGAAATAATCTCTCAATCTCACGAAGGAATTACACAAATTCTTACCACAAGAATTTAATCGACTACAACACACTCGGATATCTTCAGGTATAATTCATCAGCAAAATCTCCTCTTTGATGATTTTCACAAATAACATCCCCTTCTTATTTATAGGCAAGAATTTGATCCAAATTAGGAAACCTCTGTTTAGGAAACTTTCTGCAACTAGGAAACCTTTTCCAATTAGGAAATCATTCAATTAGGAAGCCTATTCAAAATGTGAAACCTACTTGAATTAGGAAACTTTCTTTTTCGGGCTCAAACTCGATACATATTTTCAACAGTAGACAGTATGGGCTCACGAGAAGCATTTGAGCGAGCCTGTTCTCGCATCTTGAGCCATAAGTCTTCTTTGTCTTCATTTTAGTCATGGCGCTTGACAACCTTCCTAGTGTGTGTGGTCTTTTCTCGATTCTGCAAAATGGGTCTGCTCAAAACAGGGCTAGAAATTCTGGGTCAGCATAAATCGGCAAACTTGAGGTTGTATTTGCGCTCATAGAGCTTAGGTCATGGGAAAATTTGCGACTCTTTGTTCTTGGAGTGTCGTCTACATAGGCGGCCATTTCAGAGTTGGGAAGCGAGGGTGCCTTGAATCGAGATAAAGATGATAGTGGTGAAGGGAGTGGAAGAGATTCGCGTAAGGATCGGAGAGAAGATTTCCTACTATCACAAGGGTAATGACACGTTCGTCCTTCTACTTGAAGGAGCTTCAAACAAAAACCTAATATCAAAATATATATGTCCAATTATGTATATGATAAAACAGAGAGTTGAAAAAACCTAACAAACATCTTCAAATATATTTAACTATCTCAACTCAATGTATATGCAAAACGCAACTACTAAAAGCACCCCGCATTAAACCAAAAAAAGAGAAAGCTACCTGGCGATAGTGCTTTCATCTTGCTTGTCGCTAGTTAAAAAGCTTGAAAAAATTTGGAAAGAATGGTATGAGTAATACAGCCAAATGAGTAGTACATCTCTTCTAAGTAGATCGAAGATTTACTATGCATCTTTATAAAACAATATCATAACTCATCAATCCCAAGTCTATGTAAATTATTGAAAATGGGTTATATCTTTTCAAAAAAAAAAAAATATTGATCAATCAACAATAACATATCAACCATCAATGATTCATTCCATTGATTAATCTCTATCGAATCCAACATCGATAGTCCATTCTATCGACTAAGTTAATGCTCACTATCCAACTATGGTCGTGCTTAATGCTTGTGACAAAGGCAATTAAGTTTCCCTCTTAGTTAGGTCTCCACCTATTCAGCCGGTATTTCGGCCCAAGAGGACGTCCAATAATAATATACATACTTACCCCTTAATGGGTTTCAATCATAGCGATATGAGCATAATCCACCTACTTCAATCTCCAATAACCCACAATCTCAAATCTCAGGTTTACCAACCAAATCATATAAGGGTTAATACCACGAAAAACCCAAAACTGATACGCCTGTGACAATTTTACCCCAAACTAATTTTTTTATCACAAAAAATCCCAAATTGGTACACCTGTGACAAATTTACCCTCAGTTTATTTTCGTTAAATTTATTGTCAAATTACTTTTTTAAATGACACGCGGCAATTGACGGATGTACTAATTTTGTGTTTTACCCTCCGTTTGTCACAGGCGTACCAGTTTATGATTTTTTGTGGTATTAATTTAATTTAATGAAAACTAACGGAGGGTAAATTTATCACAAATGTACCAGTTCAGGGTTTTTGATGGTCAAAAAATTAGTTTGGGATAAATTTATCACAGGTGTACCAGTTTGGGATTTTTCACTGTCAAAAAATTAGTTTGGACTAAAATTGTCACGGGTGTACCAGTTTATCATTTTTCGTGATATTAACCCATCATATAACTTTTCACGATTCAATATATATCAAAGTACCTTTCATAAACTATAATAATATATTATGAACCTTTCATGATTGTTTCATAAAAGGTTTTGCAATCAACTCAAATTATAGTCTAAAGATATCTTGCCATTTCAAATAGATAAAACGGTAGCAAATGCTCGATCTAGATTTTATGCAGTAAAAACGTCATTTCATAACTCATAATATATCTAATCTATGGGCCCATTTAGTTCAGTTTTTCAAATGCTACTTGGGGGAATGCAAATACCTTTAGGTGAAAGTCACTTGGGAAAATGCAAGTGGTGTTTGGTAAAAAAAAATTTGTGAAGCTACTTTGGCCTAAGTAGTGTTTGGTAAATTTTTTTTTGCAAAGGGCTTTGGCAATTTTTATTTTTAATATTCCGGTTTTGCCCCTATTACTGTTCATCTTCTTCACCGGCGAGGGTGGCCGGCGAAGGGCCGGTGAGGGCGGATCTGGCCGGCGAGGTCGCCCGACCCAGGCGACGGCCGCCTGGGGTTGGGCGACCGCCTAGGCGCCGTCGCCTGGGTCGCGCGACCTCAGGCGACCCAGGCGACGGCGCCTGGGCGGTCGCCCGACACTAGGCGGCCGTCGCCTGGGTCAGGCGACCTCGCCGGCCCTTCGCAGGCCACCCTCGCGGTGAAGAAGATGAACAGTAACAGAGGCAAAATCGAAATAAAGAAATTTGAGTGAAGACAATTTGGAAAGGGAAAAATAGGCTTCAGCATTCCAAATGCTAGCTTTCGGCTTTCCGTTCCCCAAATGCTGAACCAAACGGTTCAGCATTTTGGGAAAGGGCTTTCGAGGCCAAAAGCTCCTTTCCAAAGCTGAACCAAACGGGGCCTATATCCCTTTCAAAATATGAGTTTACAGCACCAATTACCTAGGAAAGCTGAAAACCAACGTTTTTTGGCCGACACACTCATAATTCTATCAATCAATTGAAAACAATAACAAAATCCGAGTGATAAACTATTCTAACAAATGGCTCGACTGAACTATGATTTTTCATTGACCAATCAACTCCTACGCGTTAACAAAAAGACTCGTTTATAACAAACATTCATCTTTGTCCATTACATGTATTGTCCATTACACATAACTTGTACGTGAATCTTTAAAAATTTGTTCAGATCAAACCGTATTTTGAAACGAATTTTCGTCAAACCCTACGGTTCCATAATGCTCTAAATTATCATTTCCATATAAATCCACAGCTTAATAACTCATCATTCAAACCTCATAGTTCAAAATTGATATAACTTCGAATTTACGACCTAATTTCGATAACTACTCCGATTAGAAGAATAATGGGCTCGAATGCTTACTAAACGTTGCAATTCAAAGTTGATTCAGTTTCTCAGGACGTCCGAAATGGCTACGTGATATGAATCTGTGCGGAAGATGATCGTTCTACGAAGATTTGTGAGTTACGAATTGCTGACCTCGACCCCCAATCGAACCTGTGATTGGTAATCTCGGTATGAATGCGACCTGTTGACGAACTTGTGTCAACCAATCCACGCTATAACGCCACGAACAAGAGAATTCGCGATCTTGCTCGATAAGTTGAATTCGATCGCCATAAGGGAACCTTGATAAGATCTAGGGGTGTGCAAAAGAACCGGGACCCGCCCGGATCGCCCGGAACCAGACCGGAACCGGTGGTTCCCGGTTCCAATTTTTTGGAACCGGTACTGTTTGGGCCGGTTCCCGATGTGGAACCGCCCACCCGGACCGGACCGGTAATATAATAATAATATATTTTATTTTTTTTATTTTTTAATTAAAAAAATCTAACCAAAAAAAATTAAAAAAAAAAGAAGAAAATTTGTTATCATGTCTGAAGCTCTTGTGTAGTTGGGATACCTTGGTCATTTTTCCCAATAATTAATGGGTACCCACTTGATTTATGGATGATGTGGTTAATATAATCGATCATAGTGTAGGAATTGTATGAAAAGTTATGTTCTTTTCCTTTTGTTCTGTTGATCCGATGTTAGTCCACAGATTTTTTTTTATTTGTCTAGGAAAACTTGTTGAGACCGGTTCCATGGACGCCCAAGAACCGGACCAGACCGGCGGTCCGATTCTCGGGTGAGTCCATGGAACCGACGGGCGATTCTCGGTTCCAATTTTTGGAACCGGTCCTGTAGCGGGCGGTCCACGGTTCCAGGGTGGGAACCGCTTATCCGGACCATGCACACTCCTAATAAGATCTAGTCCTCAAGAGAACTCAAGAAGAAAACTTCTCTATATAAAATTCTGCCCCTCTTAGAAATCTATAAGCAACCTTATATACGGTGCTAACCCTAATCCTAATCCTACTAAGATTAAAATTACAAAAATAACTTTAATTACTAAAAATTCGTCCAAAAATGGAAAAAGGCCTAAAAGTTCATCTAAACGACTCTAAATCGCTAAAAAACGTCATCAATCACTACTAAAGTAATGAGTATTGATCAGCGGCCCGTTTCCAAGCGTCAATCCAAATTTAAGCCAATTCGGAGTTTGTCAATTCTAAGTTCCTTCGGAATTTGCTAGACCAAGAGTAATCATGTTGCGCCAAGGAGCTTCAGAATCTTCAAGTTTCGAATCCAGATTGTCTCCATTCCAAATATCTTGAACCATGATGCCGACAGCTTGTTTGAATTCCTTCGCTCTCGCTCGAGTGATCGGGCCTAGCGGATAGAACAACGGGTCCCTAGCACCTCCTCCTCGATAGGGTTCGATGTCCACATCATTCCCTCCCCCATGCAAAGGATTTGCCCTCAAATCAGCGTCTGCATCAAAAAGAGTCAAATCAGAAACATTGAAAGTAGCACTAATACCATACTCACCTGGAAGGTCAAGCTTGTAAGCATTATCGTTGACTCTTTCCAACACCATAAATGGTCCATCTCCTCACGGTAGCAATTTAGAGTGTCGATGTTTGGGGAAACGCCCTGTGCGCATATGAACCCAAACCCAATCGCCGGGTTCAAACACTACTTTCTTGCGCCCTTTGTTGGCTTGCTTTGCATACTGCTCTATCTTAAGCTCAATATTCAGCCGCGTCTTCTCATGCAAAGTCTTCACAAATTCAGCTTTCTTAGCACCATCTAAATCCACACGCTCAGCAACAGGCAAAGGGGTTAAATCTAACGGAGTTAAGGGATTAAAACCATAGACAACCTCAAACGGTGTGAATTTAGTAGCAGAATGCACGCTTCTATTATAAGCAAACTCAACATACAGTAAACAATCTTCCCAAGACTTAATGTTCTTTTTAATGATAGCACGCAATAATGTCTCTAAAGTCCTATTAACTACTTCAGTTTGACCATCAGTTTGTGGATGACAAGTAGTAGAGAATAAAAGTTGTGTACCTAACTTCTTCCACAATGTCTTCCAAAAGTAGCTTAGAAATTTAGTATCTCGATCAGAAACAATGGACCTAGGCATGCCATGCAAACGCACAACCTCACGAAAGAACAATTCAGCAACATTCGATGCATCATCAGATTTATGACAATGTATAAAATGAGCCATCTTTGAAAATCAATCAACAACCACAAAATAGAATCCTTGCCATGCTTAGACTTAGGCAATCCTAACACAAAATCCATAGAGATATCAACCCAAGGATGCGTCGGGATAGGCAAAGGTGTATACAAACCATGTGGTTTAATCGTAGACTTAGCCTGCTTACATGCAATACATCTCTCGCAAACTTGTGTGACATCTCGTTTCATGTGTGGCAAAAAAAAATGTTCATACAGCACTTCATAAGTCTTATTGATTCCAAAATGCCCCATTAAACCACCACTATGTGCCTCTCGCACTAACAACTCGGGCAAAGAGCATATAGGCAAACACAACTTATTTTCACGAAAGAGATATCCATCATGCCTATAAAACTTTTCAAACGCAGCATGCTCACAAGCTTCAAATACTCTTTCAAAATCATCGTCGTCAGCGTATAAACCTTTGATATGCTCGAAACCTAGACACTTTGCTCCTAGAGTAGTTAGAATTGCGTACCTTCGAGAAAGTGCATCGGCTACCACATTTTCCTTACCTTTTTTGTACTTGATTACATATGGAAAAGTCTCAATGAACTCCATCCATTTGGCATGTCTTTTGTTCAACTTTTGCTGCCCCTCAAGTACTTTAAGGTCTCATGGTCGGTGTAGATCACAAACTCCTTTGGCCACAAGTAATGTTGCCAAGTCTCCAAAGCTCGCACCAAAGCATACATCTCCTTATCGTAAGTCGGATAATTCAATGTCGCTCCGCTTAACTTCTCGCTAAAATACGCTATGGGACGTCCTCCTTGCATCAACACAGCTCCAATTCCTGTACCAGAAGCATCGCATTCTATCTCAAAAGTAGTACTGAAATTCGGTAAAGATAACAAATGAGCATTAGTCAGCTTATCCTTTAACAGATTGAATGCTCTCTCTTGCTCTTCTCCCCATGTAAAACCCACGTGCTTCTTGATAATCTTGATTAAAGGTGCGGCGATGGTGCTGAAATCTTTTACAAATCTACGATAGAAACTGGCTAAACCATGAAAGCTGCGCACCTCTCCTACTGTCTTAGGTGTCGGCCATTCACGGATTGCTTTTACCTTTTCTTCATCAACCTATATTCCATCAGCACCAACAACAAAGCCTAGAAATACTAATTTGTCAGTTACAAAACAAGACTTCTTTAGGTTAGCATATAATTGCTCAGCCCTTAAAACCTGCAAAACAGCTCGCACATGCTCAATATGGTCATCAAGACTTCGACTATATATCAGGATATCATCAAAATAGACAACTACAAATCGACCAATAAAAGCACACAAAACATGATTCATAAGTTGCATGAAAGTACTAGGTGCATTAGTTAAACCGAATGGCATGACTAACCACTCATGTAACCCGTACTTGGTCTTAAATGCAGTTTTCCATTCATCCCCCTCTTTCATCCTAATTTGATGATAACCACTTTTCAGATCAATTTTAGTAAATATGCAAGCTCCATGCAATTCATCCAACATGTCATCTAGCCTAGGAATAGGATGTCGATACTTTACCGTTATGTTATTGATTGCTCGGCAATCAACACACATTCGCCAAGACCCATCCTTCTTTGGCACCAACAAAACAGGAACAGCACATGGGCTAAGAGACTCTCTCACATATCCTTGCTTTAGTAATTAGCTAACTTGCTGCTGAAGTTCCTTTGTCTTTTAGGATTGCTTCGATATACGGGTCGGTTAGGCAATGGTGCACCAGGAATCAAATCGATTTGATGCTCTATGCCTCGAATTGGTGGTAAACCTCCAGGAAGCTCATCAGGAAAGACATCTTCAAATTCCTGCAATAAAGACACGACAGAACGTGGCAAATTCGGGTCAAGTTCGTTATTAGTAAACAGTGCCTCCTTGTACAAAAGTACAAGTATCGGTCGGTCCAGAATCAAAGCTCTTCTCACTTCGCTCGATTTTGCATAGAAATTCTTTTCTCTCTTTTCTTTTCTCTCTCCTTTTCTCTCGGTTTTTACCACTCTACTCTTATCTTCCTCTCCTTTTACTTGCGTCTCAGAGTTTCCACGTAGGCCCTCAGTTTTATCACTCTTTCTCTCTCTCTCAGCATCACGTTGTAGTTTCAATTGATCTTCATACACCTCAGTAGGTGTCATTGGCACCAATGTATATGTCTTCTGATTCATCATCAATGAATATCGGTTAGTGTACCCGTCATGATGTACCTTTCGATCATACTGCCATGGCCTACCAAGCAAAAGATGCCCTGCTTGCATAGGTATAACATCACACATCACCTCATCCTTATATCGCCCTATCTCAAATGAAACTCGGACTTGCTTCGATACTTTTACTTCACCACTATCATTCAACCACTGCAATCTATATGATCTTGGATGCTTTGTAGTCTTCAATCCCAACTTCTCCACCATGGTACAACTTGCTACATTTGTACAACTACCTCCATCAACAATCAAGCTACAAATCTTACCATTCACCAAGCATCTTGTATGGAACAAGTTATCGCGTTGCTGGTGATGCTCCTCCTCTTTGACTTGAACACTAAGAGAACGCCTAACCACCATCAATTCACCCTTTGCTGGCATCTCAACATCACTACAATCCTCCAATGGTGGCATGTCATCATCCTCTTCCCCCCTCTCACTTTCTGATTCAACATCATTATGTCCAGTCATGATCATCACCCTCCTATTAGGGCACTGATTTGCCATATAACCCCTGCCCAAACACTTGAAACATTTAATATCACGAGTCTTAGTGTTAGGGTTTTCAATTTTACCTGAAACCGGATTCGAACCAACTTTGCCATCCTTCAAAGTTTCAGTCTTGATATTGTTTCCCTTCCAATTCGGCTTCTCGTCTCTCTTCCAATTAGACTTCCAATTCGAGCTTGAACCTCCACCACTCTTGTAATTTCTCAATTTAAGGTTATAATTGATTGACAACCTAACATTATGACAAGTATGCATTACAACGGATAGAACTCTACTTATGGAAACCAAGATTCTGATTGTATGGGCGACCAGAATCAGCGGGATTCAGATTTTGTCAACCAACGGCTACTCAATCCATTTTATACAAATCTGTCCAAGATGAAGATTGGAAGATGATCCTCTGAAGACTGTCCAATGGCTAATTTGGAAGTGGAAGAGTATAAAAGGAGATCTACGAGGAGCAGAAGGCGTAGAACGAAATCGAGAATCAACAAGTCCAAAGTCTGAGCATACTCCGATCCTTTCTCTTGTCTTTCTTGAGCTAAACACTAAAATCTTGAGGGATACTTTGTAAGAGTGAGTGTGTTAGATAGAGAGTCCTATCATACACAAGAGTGCTGTCACTCAGAATCTGTAATTCCTCTTGATTACATAGTAAAATCCAGCCAGTAGGCTGTCAGCATAGGAGAGTGGACGTAGGCTTGCTATAAGCCGAACCACTATAAACTTGTGTACAGTTTTTCTATTCCTTATTTCTTGCTTTACATACTGCACACCAAGAGCACTGTTTATATAAACTGTTTTTGAATCTGAATTTTATTCAGACTCTACTGTGATCAATTATTTCCGCTATAAATTGATCAAAATTGTTTAAAATCACCTATTCACCCCCCTCTAAGTGATCCTTGCTAGCTACATCAATTGGTATCAGAGCCTAGTTGCTCGTTTATTGAAGTGTATTACTTCTGAGCTAACAATCTATATGGCTAGCTTGAGTGCTCCAGGTCTCATTGAAGGACAAAGCAACAACAGACCACCATATTTCAATGGCAAGGAATATAGTGTCTAGAAGAACAAGGTGAAAGCATTCATCAAGTCAATTGATCACATGCAATGGGATGTTATCATCAGAGGAGTCAAACTAAAATCCTCTGCACCAAAATCTGATTAAAAAAAAAATAGAAGGAAGCACACCAGCAGATCCTCCATTATCTCAAACTGAGATATCAAAAAGAGAAGCTTTAGATTCAAAAGCAATTTATTCGTTCTATTGTGCTTTAGCACCTATTGAATATAAGAAAATTGCTTCTTGTGAATCAGCTAAGGATATCTTGGATACTCTCTACACTACATATGAAGGAACAGATCGAGCCAAGGAAACTCAAATCAATCTATTACTTGGTCAATATGAATCTTTTAGAATGAAGTCTAGAAAATCAGTTGCTGATATGTATGACAGATTTGCTGACATAGTAAACGGTCTTGCATATCAAGGACAACCAGTCTCAAATGCGATGAAAGTTAACAAACTTTTGAGAGGACTGTCAAAGCAGTGGGACAATATCAAAACATCACTTCGAGAGACTAAAGGATCATGCCTCTATCAGTGAATGAGCTAATTGGAACTCTTCAATCATATGAGACTGAACAACTGAATGAGGAGAATGAATCCAAAGGTAAAAAGTCAATTTTGTTAAAATCTAATATTGATTCTGATGATGCAGATTCTGAAGATGAAGATGTTGACGATGAAAAACTGGCTCTCTTCATAAAGAAGTACAAGAAGATGAAAAAGAAAGGAAGAAACTTCAAAGGGAAGAAGCCTTTTGAGAAAAAGAAGACTCTCGATAAAACAGAAAAGTCAAAGGAAGTAATCTGCTTCCAGTGCAGGAAACGTGGACATATCAAGCCAAATTGTCCACTTCTGAAAAAGAAAAAGAGCAAATTTGAGAAAGCAAAGAAAGCCTTAAAAGCAGAAACCTGCAGTAATACAGAGTGTGAAGACAGTGATAAATATATCTCAAACTTCTGTCAGATGGCCAAGTCAGACTCAGACTCAAATTCAGACTCTGATTCAGATTCTGATGCTGGAGTCGAAATTAAGGTAAAGTATCCTGAAATTTCAATTGAAGTGTCAAATTACATTGATGAATTATGCTTTGAATTTAAGGCTACTCTTAAAAGAATCTCTCAATTAAAAAAGGAAAATTCATTACTGAGACAACAGGATGTTTCACAAAAAGATAAAATCGATTTCTTTCAAAAAGAATTCCATCAAGTCAAGGAAAATCGAGATTTACTTTCCAAAGAAAATGCTGTTTTGAAAAAGGAATTTTCAAAAATTACTTCCAAATTTTCAAAAAGTTCAGAAACGTTAAAGCATATTCTTTCTATACAAATTTCTTACTATAACAAATCTGGTCTTGGATTTGTGAAGGAAAGCGACAATTTAATTGATTTTCCAAAAGTCAAGGAGAGATTAAAGCAAAGACCTCCTAGACAAGTTTATAAAAATCATTTCAAAAGGAACTTTGTCAAACCTGTTGGCCGAAGTGTACTCAAGTGCTCAAAATGTGGAGATCCACAGCACTTTGAGAATGAATGTCCTAAGGTCTAGAGACTAATTCGAAGAGACTTTGTTAAGATAGCCTATACTAATTCTCAAGGACCCAAACAAATTTGGGTACCAAAGAAAACTTGAGTGGTTATGATTTTTACAGGTTAGCACAAAGAGAAAAAGAAAGTGGTACCTAGACAGTGGATGTTCTAGACACATGATAGGAGATCCAAGCATGTTCGTTAATCTTCATAGTTTGAATGGTGGAAAAGTTTTCTTTGGAGGAAATAACAAAGGAAAAATAGTTGGTAAAAGAACAGTTGAA